AAACCCATGTGGGCAGTACTTTATTGTCCTTTTGTGTTTCCATATTAAAGCAGACTTGTTTCCTGTACCTTTGTATTACAGCCAATTCAAGCAGCTTCCTGCAGTCCCATTAGAAATGACTCATAAAATCTGTGTCAGCTGCACAGAGAAATATCGAGCACATAACCAGGTTTATTAACATAATGCAACAAGATAAGATTCAATATGGATGTGAACTCACACACACAACCCACACACACTTCAGAAATTGATTTTTTTTATTCATGTTTCCTACAATAGGCAAATACAAAATTATAAACAATAATAAAAACTTAATCATAGACTTTTTTGCTCTATTTAAAAAGCCTTATTTTGGAAACCTGCTCACACACATCTGCTTATATCTCAGGCAGAGGATAGTGGGATGGTTCAAGCTCAGGTCATACAGATTCATTTCTAGGAGACTTGCCCTAACCTTAACCAGAACCTCTACTTGCTTAACCTTAACCAAAGCTGACAACTGCTCTAACCTTACACCCTAATTTGACAAATTAGTTGTGGGGCCCAGCCTCCGGTCCCTGCAAAGTAGTGTGCGCCCAGTGTTCAAGTACAGTATACATAAACAAGGCCACATACATACATACAGGTTTATTGTGTGCTGACATAATGCATTCCCTAACCTAGGGTTCACTGTAATTACCAGTTTCTGACTATAAATTGCATTCACAAAAACATAAAAGTCATAAATATGACTTGGAAACTGATTTTTATTTATTTATTATAGTTTAGAGTTGAGCTGTAAGAAACCTCTCAAATTCTGCCTTATCATACAAAGACCATAACTACTTTTACCTAAATCTTGAGAGACAGAAGACTCTCCTGAACCACTGACATAAAATTTGTATCGATTGGGTCACAAATGTGGGGAAATATGGTGAGATAGAAAAGCTTCATTTTCAGTTTCCAGCCGAAAACCCTGCTCTCAGTTAACATCGAAGTTTAGGGCCAGTTTGATAATATTCTTGCTCCTCTGAGGCTCGTGACATAAAATCCATAATTCTACTTGCTTACATACATTTTGTGACAGAAAACATGTTTTGATATGTTTGCTGTTATTTATGTTTTCTAAAAATGATGTATGGAGAGTGAATATTGTGGTCATGAGGATTATTAAGAAGAGTTTCACAGCTTCTCCCACTGTGTTTGTGAAGTCTCACACTCCAGCCTCTGATCACACATCTATTCATTTCTAAGGGGAAACATTTCTGACAAAACATTAAATATTTCAGAGAACATGAAAGATATTGCTGATAAAAGTATACCCAATATGTCCCCATCAAGCTGAACGCCTGATGACATTTCTACAAGTGAATAGTGTGACACGGGGAAGAATAATAATAAAGAAAAAGTTGTTTGACCTGAGAAGAAAACATTGTATGGGTTTGCTGGTTGCCCACCAATCCCGTGAATTACAGCTGTGTTGACAACCTACAGGGCTGTTTTTGTGGTGAGGACAGTCTCATATGGTGAGATACCCTCATGGGTTGGAAAAAAAAGAGGAAATAATGCTGCTTTAGAAAAACCAAGCCTTAAAACTCAAATAGTCTTCTGAAGAAGTAAGGCCAGCATCCTCACTTTTCAAAAACACCAGTTTTAAACTCAAACTGGTCCTCACAGGGTTTGATTATTCAACACCACTCAAGACCACATAGAATAGTTGCGACCATGCCTTTACATAACCATCAGAACATGTACCACCCGCATTTTAAATGTGGAGTGAAGACTTCAAACCAGAGTACAGGGATTGAATTGAGTTTATAAGTCACAGGAAA